ATTGAAAATTTCATTAAAATCTAACATTTGATTTTTGCAAAAATCTATAAATCAAAAATGTCATTTGAATTTCCCATATTAATTGACACAACAAGAAAATTTTTAACCCAAATCTTGAATGTTCTAAAATGGTTACAGAATTTTTTTTACTTAAGAAAATCCTGTGTTCTTTCCTCTTAATAATAACATATATTTTGATGATAATTTTGTTTTTAAGTTTCGCTTCTCTTTTTTTTTTTTTTTTTTTTTTTTTTCAACAAATCTTTGGAGTACCTACTTTAAATCAGTTCAATTCTACGTAATAATTCATGGCCCTCTTTATTTCTAGCAAAGCTAAAAAAAACAAATAAGTGATTTCTTTTAAAAATTCTAATTAGTTTCTTTAGATTGCTGCTCTCCTTTTTTTTTTTTCTTTTCTTTTTTAAAGAAAAAGAAAAATATCTGTTCATTACAATGGTAAAAAAACTACACTTTTTTTCTCGTAACACCTAGCCAACAGTTGCTTGTTTTTAAAGCATCTTCTTATTGTATCACTTAGGATATGGAGAATTGGAGAGTGAGATTGTCCCAGTGCAAAAAATACCTTTTTGAAAACTTTCGTGCATATCTACAATTTATGCATGCATATACAGACATCTGCAAAAATAAATCGAGTCACTAAACGCGTGTACGTGTGTGTACAGCCTTTTGCAAACTTTCAAAAAACAAGGGGAAAGTGTCTTGAAATTATCACTGACATTTTTACTTCGAATCTATGCTTTGCAACATGTTTCAGTAACTAAGGCTACAAAGTAAAACTCATAAATTTTGTGGCAAAGTGTAACATTTGTACCCACAAAAAACCCAATTTTATCAAAAGGACAGGTCTTCTTTTGGCACTGCTAATGTTTAGTTTTTAAAAAGCTATGAATATGAATTATCTACAATTCAATATTTATTATTTCCCATTTCATAAAGAAATAAAAATATGAAAAGTTTTTTTTTTTTTTTTTTTTTTATATCTGTCTATATCTCTGAGTTGAGGTATTATGATTATTTACATTTTGGACTCTTATCCTCATCTTCATTGCCATATTCATGTTTCGGCTATTATAGCTCCGGCTTTCTTCGGGGGATTGGAATTTCGAACCAAACCCTTTTGTTCACCAGTGTAGATTGTTCTAGTTCCATGTGCCATGCCTCAACTCTTCCAAGTTTTTTTGGTTCACTACTGTTGTAGATGATGAGCGAAATAAAGGGTAAATAATGTAGATTATTTTTTATTTATAAATCTATAAAAAATGTCTACGCAAGAATTTAAAGTTTAAATCAAGTAAATAAATGCATAACGACGAGTTATGTAAAGTATAAATTTTGAAAAAATACATTTTTCGAACATTTCATTCATTGGCTCTCGTTAATAAATTATCTTTTTATAAGCTTGTAAATTTTTGTACATACAATATCAATCTTGTAAATAATCTAACAACTAGTTTGTAATTTTTTTTTTTTGTTAAAACTCTAAACATAACTTTTGAAAACAAATAGATTTGTCAAGGGAAATACAGCCCTTTTGACACGTTGTTTTTGCTTTTTCTTATCTGAAGTTTAAACTTTGCCAGTTTTGTGTGTAAAATACTGAATTTTGCATATAATAATATTCTCTAAAACTCTTTCTGAAGTTGGTAAAAAGGGGTATTAATTCTCCAAAAATAGCTAGTATAGCCATACACCATCCATGCAGCTTGGTACTGTAACCCCATTGTCGAGTTAGGTGACTTTTTTCTCCAAAACAAATCGATAAAAATATAAAAAAACGTGCAATGTGACAATATGTATATTTTTTGCATTAATGATGGATGCACAAATATGCTTAATGCGTGTTTTTTATTTTTGAACCACCATTTTATTTTTGTTTGTTGGTTTGTGTGTGTTGTTTGTTTTTTTTTTTTTTTTTTTTTTTTTTGTGCACGCGAAAAAATAAAATTTTTGTAAATAAATATGTTAAATTACCAAGAAAAATAAAATCGGCATCAAGTGTTATAGAATATTTTGAAAACGGCTTTTTGTTTCATTCTGCTTAGCACCCCCACCTGACAATTTAAAAATTCTTTGTAAACTTAGTCATTTATACCCCCCCCCCGCTTACATTTCCTACACTCATTCTCTACGAATCTACGATTAAATGATTTGCACGTGCGTGAATCTTGAGTGTTAAAAAAGGTTTTCGTTTTTTGTTTTTTTTTTCTCCCAAACTTTAATCTCCTTTTGACATTGGACATTTATTTTACTATTGAAAGAAAAATGCTTAGGATTTAAAGCAAACCCTTGAACCCTCAGGCTCTAAGAAAACCTCAAAGTTTATCTCTGCGTATGAGTACACATTTTCTTGTTCTCCATTTTTTTTTTTTTTTTTTTTTAATTGGAAGGGAAGCGAGCTGTTTATCAGTCATGTGACTGTTAGTGTTATATATTTCACACACTTTTTCTTTCTTCATTCTCTCTCCCTTTTTCCTCCCTCTTTCTCTCACACAAATAATTTCCTAATCTGACTTGCTACAATCAATAGTAAAATTGTCTCCCTCTCAACTATCTCATTATCATCCAAAACACCATAAAATAGGTGAAAACTTAGCCCAATAAAGTCCTAAGGAATGGAACGAGTCATAAGAAAACATTAATGACAATGGAAAAAGTTTCCTTGTGACTAATTTTGTCCTTTTAGGACTTCATTGAATTTGCTAAACTAGGTTATGTTGGTGTGCACCAATGAATTTAGTCTGCAGGATGAAATGCATCACAAGAAAACTTTTTACACTTCGTCATACAATTTTTCTTCAATATTGTTCTTGATACATAAAAATTTATATCATTATCTTATACACACAGAGAGTGCAATATGTAAATTGTTGACTGGACAGTATAGGAGAGTCAGTTGAGCACCGTCTGTGAGAAAAAAAGAAGCCTGACACAATTCACTCTGCCACAAATTTGGAAACTGCATACTGTACTACCTGGTATTTCAGTGTGTTTGGGTGCCCATCTAAGGACAATGCAGAGTATTCAGAAAGAGTTGGATGGGTCTAGTGGTTATTACAAAGGTACACCAGCTTGGAAAACTCACGCTGATCTTTTCTGATGAGAAGAAAACACCTGAATTTATTGGAGAGGGCCTCAGAGCCAACACTAAGGCTTACATCAAATGCCTTGAGGTTGGCTGCTGGAAGACCCTATGTCTGGCAACTCTGCAACCACATCACCCTTTACATCTGGCCATATAATTCCTCTGACTGCAATCCCCTTGATTATGTGTGGGACACAGTTGGGCGAGAGACCAACAAAACTTCTTGTAACACCAAAGATGAACTGAAGGCAAGGATTATGGCATCATTCACCAACTTAAACAAAATGACTGTCCAGAAGAGTTACAGGAGATTCCAGTCATCTGGAGGCCATGTTTGAAGCCAGTGGCGATTTTTATTGAATAAATTTACTTTCTAATATTTTAAGATTTTTTTCCTGTAACTTTGGTTAAAATGAGATGTCAGTGTTATTTTCATTTTTGCATAATTTAGATGATAATTTATCCAATGCACTCTCAATACATTAGATGTTTTTTTTTGTGTGTGTGTATGTTTGTATATATGTATATGCATTAGTGTGTTTATATATCTGTGTAAATTTTTAGTTTAATTTATTGTACATTTATGGTTGGTACTGCTTACTGATATGTTTCCTCAATACTACCCCAGTCACACTCCTCATCCCAACCCTCCAGTTGATGAGTTAAGACTTCCAGTTTGTTTGATTTTTTTTTTCCCCCAAATTTAAGTCTGGCTAAATGTAATTTGCCCTTTTTTAATTGATATATTCAGATAAAAAAACTTATACTGTATGGAATAAATTATTTAAAATGGACATTTGTAAACAATAAGTTGAAATAAAAAGGTGTTCTTTGAAAAACAGTCATTAGATTTTTAAAATATTTATAAAGCAAGGAATACATTGCCTACTAAGTATATCTCCAGCTTTGATAGGGGCTCAGACCTATGCAGCCCAACTAGTCACATTAATTTTCTTTCTTTTGAACAATATCAATGAAATGTATTTCAGCCAATATTTTGAAGCATGGAGTTAAAACAATTAATTTTGCATCCAGCTGAAATCAAGAATGTTGTTATTTTGAAATAGATGTACTTGAATGTTGACTGACTCTGGCTAAGCCCCACCCCTCCCAAACTTGCCACTTATATATATATGTGTGTGTGGATGGATGCAAAAAATTGTGTACACCAAAACATTAAATGAATCCTAGAACCACTATTAGAATACTGGTATTATACTTACTGTATATGAACTTTTTGCATTTTTCCCTCACTGGTAACACAACTCTGAGTTTCATGCAATTATAACCTGCATTATATATATATATATATATATATATAGATATATATATATAAATAAAGGAAAACAACACCACCCTACAACAGTAAATCCCAAAACTGTAAACTTTGTCTGGAAGAGAAAATAGTTGTAATCACTTTCCCAACACGATATCTGTGTACCAATGAGGTAGACACAATACTTTACCAAATGTTCCTCTATAGGGAAACAGGCCAAAATTTTCAAAATTCAAACGAAATGGCTGTTGTCATTTGTGTTTCTATGATAAAATATCTTATAAGAAGTGACCTACCTACTTTGTTCATTTTTTTTTTTTTTTTTTTTTTTTTTCCCCTACAAAAGTTTGAGATTTCTTTGGAGAAAGGGATTTTATTTCCAAGAGTGAAAGGCAAGGGGAATTCATACAAACAATCAGCTTCAGTCGTTGTTAGGAGGTCTTAATTATTGTGACTGTGTGTAATAAGCTAAGATTGAAAAAACACAAAAATGCTCCAAAAGGCAAAAATTTACCAATTCTCCAAGTAAAAGTAAAGATCCTTTTGTACCCCAGTCAATCTATTAAAAAAAAAAAAAAAAAAAAAAGTTTTAATGAATTCTCAACTGGGTTTTCCTTTCAGATTTGGTGGCAAAGATGGTTGGTACTTTACCGAGCAACCAGCAAAGGTACAACACGATTATCTGTCTATTCCAACAACAAAGCTACAAAAGACAAACCAAAAGCTTCCCTTTCAGTGCAGTCCATCCAAACAGTTCTACGATTGAGCAGCAAAGTTAAAAAATATGCTATTGCAATTGTAACAAAAGACAATTATTCATGGGAATTGTCGTTTGAAACAGGTAAGATGTTTCAGAGATTTGAATTCAGAAAATCATTGTCATAATTTCTCAATTTGTGAATCATTTCAAATGCCAATCCATTGAAATTGAGCCCTTTAAACTGTTGTCAAATTTTCCAGAATTATAAACCTTGCATGCTTTATTATGAACCCCACAAACAAATGTCCTTCGAAAGTTAAAAAAAAAAAAAAAAAAAAGGCTTCTCATCAGATTCTTCTTTCACAAGCTTGTGCACATGTGTATAAACTACTCTTTTTTTTTTTCTCTTTCTTCTAAATGTTAATTAAAATTTAAATGATGCCAAATAAGATCTGATTGATCTGTCTACTGTGCTTTTGGTAAAGATTTGATGTTTCGTGTGTAAATAAATGTATTGAATAGTACACGTCTTTCTATGAAGTCATTGATATTTTTAGAATCCAACCAAAATTTAACTTGAATAACCAAAAAAAAAAAATTACATTTTCCCAATTCTATTTTTAATTATAAATCTACTTAATTTTTTTTTTTCTTTACTTTTCTCAATTTTGGAGTTTTTTCAGCATTAAAAAATGATTCTTTAACAACTTTGCCTTGGTTGGCATGCAAGGGAATTGCATTTAAAATTATATTCAATATAAAGAATTTTGAATTTGGCTCAAGAACAAATGTTTTATACACACAGAGAGACACACGCACTTATTTATATATGTGTAATATTTTTTTATATATATATATATATATATATATAAAAAGTTATTTTAAATTTATCAAATATCTATATTGATTTTGTTTTGCATCATGGGTATATTTTGAATATATCTTTCCAAAGAAATGACAAATGCTGACACATTTTAAATCTTTGTTTACTATGAAAATCAGATAAATTTATTTAAAATTCATCAAATACATAAATTTATATATTTTAAAAATGTGCTATTAGTATAAATTTTGTGATATCAGCTTCCCACCCTCTCAACTCTTTCATTTTGCACCCTTTTGTAGTTGTCCTGAATTTTAAGTTTCTATTGTTTAACTTACATGTAAGTTATCTGATGATTACACTCCAGTTACTAGAGATTTAAAAAAAAAAAAAAATTCAGAATCTGAAATCTAAATTTTTTTTCAATATAAGTGAAATAATTACTTGAAATTTTGAGCTGGTGATTAAGTTTCTCTCTCTGCTACTCCCTGTTCATTACTGGGTAGATTTCAGATATTATCAAATTCATATCTCTGAATTGAGATAATTTCATGTTAAAATAACACACACACACACACATATATATATATATATATATATATATATATATATATATATATATAACATCAACAATTAATGTTTCACTAGAGGGAGCGGAAAAGGAGTGTTGTCCTTCCCCCACCCATTTGTCATTATTGTCCCCCCATTTATTGTCATTATTGTCATTTATTTATTTTTCTCCTGCCAGAAAGTGATGCTGAAGATTGGTTAAATGCTGTGTTACTTGAACAACAGAAACGTGGTGTTGCTAAGTTCTTCTCTTCTCCTGGTGTCCACAATAGAGTTCAATCTGACCTTGACACAGACCAATATGGTAATTTTTTTTTTTTTTTCTTTCTTTCCTTTTTTGGCCTTGTGCCGCATTCTAAGCTTACCAAATATAAGCACAACTACTTGACAATTGTTAATTAAAGTTTGTTCATATTTGACAACATGCCAATTCATTGGTATGATAAACAATTGAACAAGTTGCTGTAATTATACTTCTTAGGTTTGATATCATTAATGTTTTATCTTTGGTTTTGTTTCTCTATTTTGCTGGTAGTAAACACTTTCAATTGGAGTGTTGATAGATAAGGAAAATAAACTCTGGAACCAAATCTTTTATCATCAAAAGATCAACATTATAATTTTATTTTTAAAATGACACCTTTTCTGAAAATTCTTCATTGCCAAATGATCTCTGAAGCATGAGAATGTGCCAGATACATAGATCCAAAGACAATAATAATTTCTACCATGAATCTCAGATTGATATGATTCTAACATCAAAATTTCTCAATGAACTAAAATCTAATTTTTAAACTTGAGTAAGTGAAGCTGCGGATATTTCTTTTCATTTGGCTAATGAGTTCAATCCTTAATTGAATAATTACACTTATGATAAAGAGGAAAGATTAGCAGAGGAGGTAGATTTGCAAGTTCTGATCCCAAGGAAAATATTTCACTCAAGAAAAAAAGAATGAGAATAATTCTTCAATTAAGGTTTGTTTTTTGTTTGTTTTTTTTTTTATTGAAAACTTCCAGAAAAATCACCTGACAAAGTGTAACGCGTGTGAAATGATGTAAAGATGATTGGAGGGGGCAAATCCTTGAAAGGCAATCATACATCACTCTTCAGGTTTTTCAACAGAAAATGTCAGATATAACTATACTTTTTCTCTTCCAAGGAATTTGCTCCTGATTCTTTCATTTTTTAAAAATTTATGCATATCTTATATTTCATCCAGATATCTATCCAGTGTGTCCAATGGCATATACTCAATTGGGAGATTTCCATGGAGAATGTTTGATGGTGCTGACACCAGAATCTATTCATCTGCTTGATGCTGATCAACCATCAAATTATCTGGTTTCTTGGAAAATTAAACACCTTCGTAAATTTGGACTTAATGCTGGACGCCTTCTCATAGAAACTGGAAAGTGAGTCTGACTTTTTCTTTCCCTCCTTACATTCCTCTAAGTTTAAAAAAAAGTTCTGAAAATATGTATAAAATTCATGACCTTGACATTGAGACTAGATTGTTAACTCATGCTATGTGCCTTCATGACTCCTATAAATTTTTCTTTTTATTGTATCCATCTAGTTAGGAGTTTATTATAAAGCAGTGTTTAGTCACAGTTTGATCCTCACTGGTTGACTTTTGATAGTTGTTGCATTTTACTTCTATTCACTTTAAAGGAATCTCAAGAGAACCAACTCAAAAATTCATTGCCATATTTCTCAATTTTTTTTTTTGTATATTTTTAGAAATTGCCCAAGTGGAGATAATGTCTTTGTGTTCACAAGCATCTACAGTGAAGAAATCTATGATCGATTGCGCCAACATGCACATGTGTTAGCTCGTAGTGTGGTGCTGAATAACTGGCCTCATTCTGATTCAGTTTTGTCTTTGGTGAGTGATTGTGAATCAATCTTTGTATTTTTCATTGTCAGCCGTATGATTCTAATACAAATGAAGATTGAACTCTACAGTAGTAATGAATTGCAATACTTCATACTATTTCTAGCCATCATACTAGGCTTGGTACCCAAACATTTTCTCAAAACTGAATTCTTTTAGATTTGCAGCAAATACCGCATACACTTATGTATAATGCAACCTCTGAATTTTAACCTCTCCGTAACAAATTTACCTGTGTCTATTGCCACTAATCACTGAAAATGCGTGATTTTTAATCTCTTCAATATATATATATATTGAGTGCACCCCACCATTTTATCTTCATATAATGAATCTCACACATCAAGGGCAATTGTACTAAATTTTTACTAAAATTTTATTGCACTAGAGTAAACAAAAAAAATTGCTTTAATAAAGCCAACTGGCAGACTATACAGAAAAATATTTCTAGTTCTCAAACTGCCTTTCTCTAATTAAATATCTTTATAAAAAGTTTAACACTATTTACTAATTTGGTTAAGTTTATATATAGGTAGGTACCTTTTCGTTTTGTTGCTGTATAAAAAAAAAAAAAAAAAAATGTCCCAAACTCGATAAAAACAAAGTTTAGTCGCCAAAATGTTTTTTATTAAGAGGAAAGATAAAAGTATATTTTTTTTTTTTTTAACACATTGATTTAGAAATTCTTGTAACTCAAATAATTGATGCATTTTAATGAAACTTTCAGGACATTCAGAAATGAATGAATTTTTTTTTTTTTGAAACAGTTACCTGTTTCATCAAAAATCTGCTCTGAATTGTAAAATAAAAAATGCAATAAAACCATCTAATTATTTAATTAGAAGAGCCTTTAATTGCTTTTGTAAATAGGTTATATTAAGGACACTATTGTCTTAAATAATTTTTTTTTTTTAAATGTATAATGAATTTTTACAAGAATTTTTTTCAATTTCATTTTTTTTTTTTTTTTAAATTTTAATAATAATAATAGTTCAAAAATCATTTAAAATTCTTCATTGCTTTTAAGACGGCAGTTTGGTGATTAAGTGAAAAGTACATTTATGAAGTCATTTGTATCCAAATATTTTGAAAAAAATTTTAGTGAAGAAGAAAAAAAACATTCCTAATTTCTACCTATGGGAATCTATACATGACATAACCCTTAAAAAGGTCATGTGATTTAAGTGTTGTCTGACGCAGTGCAATTATTTCACTTTTAATCCGGCTCTGTTTCATCATTAACATCTTTGCAAATCATCCCTTCAAAAGATAAAAAAAAAAGTTTTACTTAATTGCTATTTCACTAAATATTTTTATTTTATGTATTTATTTTAGTTTGGGTCATACTTCAATTAATTTTTTGTTTAAGGTAGTAAACTTAAGAACCTAAATGCAAATTTCATAAAGCTTCTTGAAACATAACTAAAAGTCAAAAATGTTAATTTGTAAAAAAAACTAAAAAACATATGTTCACTTAGATTTTGTAAATTTGTCATTTCTGGTCATCCATAAGAACTAAATCAAAGAAAAAGGGGACTCATCATTAAGAAATGCTTGTATATTGTTTTTTTATGCTCCAAGTAAGTAATATTTATTTAAAATCAGATTAATTTTACTCGAATAACATGTCACAAATCTATAATTTAATTTTGAAAGATTTTTAAAACCAATAAATTTCTTAAAATAAAAAAAAAAAAAATCAAACAATTATTTGACATTCCAATCTATATAATTTCTATCTAAAATACACCAAAATATTTTATTTACTGTAAATAATAAATTTAATCATTTAGCTTTCAATTAAAACTAAAATTAAATTTTCAAGAATGCTTTTTCATTTAATTTTAAATCTTAGGCACCTCCACTGAATTTTCGATAACCTATTTTAGAGGCATATTATTATTGCTTGGTATGATATAGTCAAGAGTTTAACAAATTTACAGTCTAAGTGTTGATAGGTCATAACAAAATTATGCCAGTCTGTGCCACCCAGAATACATTGATATGATTTTCTAATTTTTAAATTTTAGGATTCTACACAGTCAGCTGACCCGTTGTTAGCTTCTTGAAGTAGTAATGAATCTTGTAAGTATTTTCATTTGTTGGACACATTTCTCTTGTAAATAATGTTTGTTTTTATATATATTATTCCAAAATTGACAATTTCCCAAAATGTTTGATCTGTCACTCCTAATTATTTTCTCCCTTGTATTTTTCAGCCTAACATTTGCTGGTTCTGCAAAAAACAAAAATGGTGACTTACTTTCTGAATGAAAAATTCATCTTTTGCCCTGCTCTCAGCTCCTCTGCCGAAGCACAAGTGAGCGAAAGAAATGAATTATTGTACCTTTTCAAAAATGTGCTCCCCCTATTTCTGGTCAGCATAAGAAAAACAAGAGACAAAGACATTTGAAAAATGCTTTCTCAAGCTAAAAGTCTAAATTTACTGTTTTTTTATTTTTGTATATTTAAAACTTTTTAAGAAAAAAATTCTTGGAGAAATACTTGCTTGGACAGTTCCCTCATTCCAAGCATAAAATATCCAAATTTCATTTTGGATTCTGCAGCCTCTTGTCTACTCTTTTATTGAAGCTGTTTTCTCTTTTAGGGTGAAAATATCCCTTCTGAAAATTCTTAAATTAAAATCAAAATTCAATTCTAATTGATGCTTAATTTAATTAAACCTTACATATCAAAAATACTTTATTCCTCTCTACCCACTTAATTTTCTTTTGAATAAATTTACCTCTTCCTGATCTACACAATGGTGGAACATGTAAATTTTCTTTTACTCATTTAATTTTTTTATATTTTAGGATGTGAATTTAAATATTCCATTGTAAATATTTAAAAATATAATTTATCTGTGCCCTCAACACTAAGGGGGAGACAACATGCATATCAAGCAATTGACACTAAAAATTTTACTTACAAACTTTTTTTTTTTTCCCCTGAGGGAGGAAAAAAGGAGAAAAAAATTTCAAAATTAAACATTTGATTATTTTAGTTTTGATACTAAGCTTCATACAACAGAAATTAATTCCAAATCCAGGAAAATGTGTTTTATAATTTTAATTCAGTTTTATTTGACAGATTCTTTTTAATACCACCAATCTCACTAATTTGATTTAATTGTCTGTGTGAAAAGGCCAAAGAGCCTCAGTCTGTTAGGGTACTAAGTGCAAGTACCGTTGGGGCCTGTTTATCAAGGCCAAGCTTACGTCGATTTACCACCAAAACAACAGGTGTGTCCACTCTAATGCCACGATAAGAAAATACCTGTACAAAAAAAAAAAGAGAAATGTCAAAATGGTGTGACTTTGTTTTTTAATAAAATTTTTTTAAAATAATTCAATTGACTTAAATTCATTTCTTTTACAGAATGCAGTTTAAAAAAAAAAAAATCCACTTTCTGCTTCTTACCTTGTCTTTATAATTAACTTCAACATCTTGAACAAATGGTTCTGGAATTGCAACAGAGTCTCCAATCTTCACCCCATACCCTTGTCCAATATTGTATACTGTCACAGAGAGGCACAGACCTTCTTCATCAATGAAGCAGAAAGTGCTGTAAAGAGATAAAAATATTTTAAAAAAAAAAAAAAAAAATCACATTTGCTTTATAGCTCTTTTTTTTTTTTAGTTTTTCAGAAAATGAGCTACTCACAAAGGAATAGATTCATCATTAGCCACTGTACACACAACTTTGCCAACCACTACTGTTTCAAGATTGACACCAGATTTTAAGTCCTAAAAAAGAAATTAGAATGGGATGTTATTTCATTCTTTTCCTTTTATTCTAACAGTCAAATGATCACAAATATTTCAAGAGAACTACAAACCTTCAGTTTTTTCTTATTTAATGTGATCGTCTCATTTCGTTGGTTAGTATAGCTTCCTCCACTGTATGGGCCAAGGTCATTGTCTATTATGCTTTTACAAAGGTTCTGTAGCTTTTTAGCTTTCATTTTACCCTAAAAAGAAAAATAATTTATATAAATTAGATCACATTAAAATACTTATTCTGAATTGATCTGTATATATAAACAATTAGAATTTTGACTTGAAATTTTCAATGTTTAGTGTACTGACAAGGAGTTCATTAAATATAGACTTGTGCTTAAAAGGAGAACAAATAGCCACTTTTTTTCTTTTTTTTTAAATACCTGTGAGCTCTGCAATGTTGTTAACCGACTCAGGTAATCCATGAGGCGCATTTCCTGTTCTTGAGGTTCCACCCAACCAGCATCAAGGGCCATAGCTTTTGAGAAACCTTCCAGTGCTTTTTGATATTCTTCTTGATATTTATAAGCCTTAGGGTAAAAAAAAAACAAACTTTCTATCATTTTGGGAAAGTAAAGCAAACAATACAAACTAAAATCAAATGACTAAAGCATTTCATATGCCAATGGTCACATGATACAACATATTTTGCCATAATTCACAAATATGGCAGGTTTTAAAAATTCAACCTAGCATCAGAAAATTAAAGAAAAATTACTTACAATAGCTTGGTTGAAGTGAAGATCTGAATTGTTTCGAGATACTGGGTCTCTTTCCTGCAAAAAAAACAAACAAGGATATAAATAAAACTCATAAATGTAACTCTAAAATATCAATTATAGATGAGAATGAGGAGTAAAACTTAGGGTCTTGTAAAAGCAATTTTAATTTCATATGCAAATTTAACAAAACCAAATTCTCTGAAAGGAAAATAAAAATCTGTTTATAGACCAGTAACCTTACAATTTTTAATTTTAAACACCTAGAGAGCTAAGATGGAAGCTTTTGTTTTTAGTTTCCATACTCATTAGAGATAAGATGAGTGAAGATTAAAAAATAACGAAGTTAATTCAAGACATAAAATAACTTTTCTATGGCTTTAAGGATTTAATACATGTAGGATAACTTACCGCTAATGCGTAGGCACTCATTGCTTGTTTCAATGCTCGAGGATTTTGGCCAGCAGCAAAAAATAATGAAAGATAAGCATTACCCAAAATTGCTGAAACAGAATATTTAAATAACTTCAGTTTTAATTTAAGATAATAATAAATTTTTTTAAATATAACTTTACAGCAGAATCATCAGTTTATTTTGCAAGATTTAATGCTAGATTAAAAGTATCTCTGTACAGTTTTTTTTTAAGAACATCAACAGGAAGCTTGGCAGAAATAATATATCTTTAAAAAAAGCCTAACTTAAAAGCGGCCCTTTCGGCCAGCATTTAAGCTAGCTCCTGTAGAGGCCTCTTGATTGGGCCTTTATCACAATAGGTAGGGAGGAGTAGATGCAATAAGCAACAATAAACTACAGAAGAACTCTGCATTTAAGTATTGCGTTAATATTTAAGCTTACTCTTAAAAGTTCAATGATAATTCTTCTGCTGCATGCAGGTCCTACTTTTCATACAAACAACTATTTTTATTTCATGAGTAACTTTCACTGGATTTCGCAATTAATTTTGATTATTCCTAAGTTATAAAAATTATCACATATAGAAAAAAATTTCAATGAAAACTTATGAATCCAAAATATAGCCTGGAATGTTTTTAATATGTTCATGGAGTTGGCCTGATTCCAAAATGGTATATGTTAGGCTATGGCCTCTAGGAGAGAAGTTGAAAAAGTGTGACACAGTGACATTTGCATTTATCATATAGATGTAGACTTATTTTCATTCACCATATACCTTTTTTCCTCCTATCTGTCCAGGATGGCTTAATTTCTGGCTGCCAAATTTTCTGTGATTACCTATAGGACACTGAAGAATGATTTTTAGCAAGAGACTTTAATTTACAGTGTGTTCATTATATTAACTGAAAATTTCCTAGCTAAAAACCAAAGTTATTACTTTTATTCCATTAAATTTTTTTTCAGTCAGTCTTGTTTAAGCAATGGCTATATGAAAACCATAAATGTTCACAAAAACATTTTTCAGTGTTATGTCTTTATTACTGTAATAAAATTCACTTAATGTAGGTACCTCCACAAGATCGCTAAAAAAAAAAAAAAAAAGCCAAACTTGATGAAAACAAAATTTTATTGTCTAAATGTTTGTTATTAAGAGGAAAGATCAAAGTATTTTGGGATATTTTTTTAATCTTCCTAGCTAATCCGTAATTTTTGTTAAAAATAGTTTTTTTTTTTTTTTTGTGTCAGCAAAATTGACCATTTTTTTCCATTTTATAAAAAAAAACGGGAAATCTCACTTTGAAATTCTTTTAAATATCAATTATCATTTTTTTTAAAACTTATTTTAAGAAAATCAGAAATTATAATGTTTATTTAAAATATTTTGAACCAAGCTTAACTTAGCTTAGCTTCTGCACTGAAAAGATGTAATTTGAAAATAAAACAAAGCATCACTTGACAGGTGATGAATGACATATTGACGGATTCCGTGAGGATAATTTGTTCTATGGAAGGAGAAAAGTGAAATAATTTACATTTAAGTGAACAAATTATTTACCTCGTTATTTTCAAGGAAAACTTTCAGCGCTTTTTTTTTTGTACTTAGCTTTCACCTTTACGATGCTTTATGGAAAATATATTATAAAGAAATTAAAATAAGACTGTTAAGAGTGAGATTAAATTTAATATTTCATAAGAAAGGTATCTAATTAATTTATAGGTACATTTCTTATGAAATTTTATCAGAAGTGTATCTAAAATACTATAATTTTATGTACATTTTACTGTGTTATTTGTATTTATATTTATTTTATTATTAATTTTGATATTTCATTTATGGAAAAATGTCATAACTGAGATTAATACAAAAATAAGATTATATAAATTTCAAAAGATGATACTGATACTTGTAGGTACCCTTCTCAGTTGAAATTGAAAAATCAAATTAACTTCTCCACACGTGTTTCGCAAAAGTAAAGGCCTTAACAGCGGAGAACAATGCTTGACTGAAATAACGCAACTTAATTGTATTCTGGTTGGTCTTCCGTATTTTATAATTACAGCCTGATTATAAACACAAAATTACATTTCTTAATTACTGTGGATCTTCTGATTAGTCAAAATGATACAATTTACAAGCGCTAAAAAAAGATCTATCTCATAAGGAGACTTAGGAAACCTGATACGGCTTTTAACTAATTTTATATTTTAACTTAAATGTAAAAATCTATTATAATTAAGAAATAATAATTGTATTAAAAATTCATTTTTCATCGAAAAAATTTTTTGCTTTCAGAATATATTGTCCATATTCATAAAAGCAAATAAAAGCATTTGAAATTAAATATCTTTGTTTTATTGAGTTTTTTGTGTTACAATTCAGAGCTGATTTTCAGGTGTGTGTGTGTGTGTGGGGGGGGGGGCATCCAATTAAACAAAAAAAAAAAAAACATGATTTACATTCCTCAAAGCCTTGTGCTTTTAATTATTGTAATCACTAAACCCAATGCGATCGAATTTCTAGTGTTTTCATAAAATTAGTTATGGAGGGGTAGTAAATATAAAAAAAAAAAAAAAAAATTCTGCCATGAATTTTATAAAGAAAAACATATTTATAATAATTTCGATCATCTGTGAATAGTTCCTGAAAGTTTCATTTACATCTGACAATTATTTTTATTTTTGCAGGATTTTTCAAATTAATGTGTGTCACCAAAAAAACGTGCTAAAATTTGTCTGTTATTTTACTAGTTCCGGTGATACAAAGAGAAACAAGGTTTTTTTTTTTTTTTTAATCAAAATTTAGAATGTTCTAAAAAGGAAAAATTTAAAAAAAACTTTGGCCTTTCCTCTTAATAATAGCATAAGCATTTAGACAATAAAATTTTGTTTTCGGCAAGGTTGGCATCTTTTTCATCAAGCTATGCTCTTTTTTTAGCGATTTCGTGAAAGTACCTAACTTAATGTCTTGTCTTTAATAATTTAAAAAAAAAAAAAAAAAGGATATTTAAATTAAATGTAATGCAGAAATTCATGATTGTGGTGATTTTCATATTAAAGTAAGATTTGACAAATACATCATTCAAATCCATGATCTCTAATTAGAGCAAAGATCAATCCAGACTTTCTACAGGAACTAGATTAAAATCCCATTCATAAGCAGATTTTTAGTTAATAATAATTATTCTTTTCAGTCATGTATTTTTGATAGATTCGCCTGTCAAAAAACCTAGCACAAAAATTGCCATTACCTCAGGGTTTAAAATTTTATGAAAACATGTTGCTTTCAAACTGTTTCATTCTAATTGACGATTGAAATATTAACAAAATTGGAAATTGGTTTCATTTTATAATTAAACAAATGGTAATCAGATACGTTAATTGAAAAGAATAGGATATTTGTAAAACAAGAGAAAATAATTAGTATTGATTCTGGTAATATATGTTAAGATATCTTGATGCAACCTTCACCTAAAAAAAGTGTTGATCAGTATATATGCAAAAGCAACCAAGATAAGGATGGTCTTAAATTTTACCTAAAGTATTTACATTATTATTTGTTACTGACTTTACTCCTTATGATAAACTAAAAACTTTACCATATAAAAGATGGCAGAATGACTAGAGATTTTTGCTCTGCTTAATTAAGACTTCCATGACTGAAGTAGTTAAGTCAATGTCCATGAAAGATGGGTTCTAGAGTTGTAGGAGAGGAATTCAAGTTTTATTGGAAACTTTACAGTTTTCCCAAGCAATTGAAAAGCATATTGACCACGAGGGCTGGGCTAAAAAAACAATAATGAAATGGCATAAAGATAAAAATAAAATAGACAAAGATGAGGATATTAGACTAAATAAGTCTTTAAGAAAGGTGGTGGGGATTTTTTTTTTTTTTTTAATGCTACTGCAAGTCAGATTTAAACAATACACAATACGCTCATAGTGACCATTATCAATGACATAGAATGGATGGTAAACAGATGTGTTTCATGTCATTGTGTTGTGAACATGGCTTTAATAAACTTTGTTTATTTTGGATCTTGACCAAATTCAACTCAATGCTTGTTGAGCTGTGGTCTGGAGATGATATGAAGCACTTTTCAAGCACCGGCCAGTGATGTCCACCTTCAAAAGGAAGGAAACGACTGACCATCCAAGGAATCCACAGCATCCAACCTCAGTAGGTAGTAAATGGCATGTCCATCCCTTTAGCATGCAATCAGATTGCATCAAGTGGTTTTTCTTTCACTTGTGTACCTCCTAACCTGTTCTCATCCTATGGAACCTTTAATTCTACTAGGAGGACACACTTCCTTGATTCAGACTATGTTACAATGTCAGGGCATGCGTCGTTCTGAATGATGTCTACCAGAAATTTTACCTTCCTTGTGAAAACAGATCTTAGATTCTCTGACCATTACAGGATGTTTGTTGGCTGCTTCACACTGTGTACTGACTAAGTCCATGATTGTTTCCAGCACTTTGTCATGACTCCACATGTACATCTGCAGTGATTGTGGGCATGCAGAGAGCATGTGACATAAATTGCCTTGATCACTTTGACATAATGCACATACATCAGTGTCAGTGTACCCCCACAGCTTGAGGTAGATCACATTTGATGGTAGATCACAGAAGGAATGATAATGCCAATGGATCTATTTTAGTCAGAACATTCCATGATAGCTTCATTGGATCAATATCATTCCATGTAGTCCAAGCACATTGTTTGAACTAAGAAACAGCAGTAACTGTTCACTACTCTTCCTTGAAATTTCTGATTTCTTCAATCACCATGTCTTGTATTCCCTTTGGATCCAGTTTGGTGAAAAACTGGTTGCCTGTGCTGCCCAGACCAGCTTGATTGGTTGGTTTGGGTCAACCCCCCCCCACCATAAACCTTAGTTCGCAGTCAGAATTCTGTTTCTTGGGTGGCTTCTACTGATGACCACTTGGTGCCAGTTTTGATATTTGGCTGTATCTTGCAGATGAACTCATCAGCAGAGTCCTTCATTATCACGAGGAGGGGTACCTTCCTGACACTGAACTCCTCCACCAATGAGGAAATGGGAAGTTTCAGGCTTCTGGCATTGGTATAGAGTCCCACTGTGGAGAAACAGAGTAGGGAACTTCAAGCCATTTGCACAGGTACTTGTTGATACGCTGTTGTGTCTGCTGAATGCAAAACAGAATAACATTATATACCTGCAATGGCCAGAGAAGCAAACCATGTTGGTAGCACGAAGCCTTCAGTTTTTGCCTGGGAAATGGGTTTTGTCACGAGATTAAAGTCCATTTAGTGACACTTTCTGCAACTTTTTACCTTGGTGCTGTTCAGTTAGAATTTCATACAGCAATCCAACGCTCTTCAATGGCTTCTCTTTGACTGTTGGGAGCATGTCACCACCAATGCAGAAGTGAATCTCCCTGACCTCCAAGTAAGGATAAATTCCACCTTTTCTGGAGTTTAGCCTTCATTCTTGCCCATGTGAAGAGCTTATGGTAACACTGTAGCAGTTTATTGGCACTGACTTTAGATGGGACCAGAATGCTGGTGTCATCTATGAAACCTCTGGAAGGAGGATTGACCATTTGTTCCTTAGTCATCACTCTTTTTGCTGTGTCCAGTGGACCCTGTAATAAGAGTTCCCTGGATATAATGAAAAGAAGTGGTGAAATCATACACCCCATCATGATGTTGACCTCAAGGGGCTTGCCACTTGGTATAGTTACCAACAGTAAACTATAAATACTGCTCTGAAATATTTCATTATGATTTCTCCAACCTTATTAGGGAAATTGAAAAATTCGAGGGACATTCTAATTATATGATTCTGATCTATACACATTCATGAGATCAAGCCAAATTACATGAAGCTCAGTTTTATTTTGTTTGGCTGATACAATTGAATTCCAAATCATGTGTGAATGTTTCAGATGGCTGGCAAAGCCAGGTATCCCAGCCTTCTGGACAGTTATGTTTATGTAATGGTTACCACCTAGCAGGAAGTCTGTCATATGACAGGCATAAAACCCCCAAAATATTTTCCCCTCTACATTCAAGAGGAGGATAGGGCGGAAATTTGCAATGCCTTTTGCATTCTTTTCACTAGATACCATTCAATTACAATACTTATTCCATTCAAGTACAATACTTTGTTTCCATGTCAGCTGAAGGAAGATGTTGAGTTGCTTGAGGATGTTTGGACAATTCTTATATAGCTTGTAGGATATTACATTTATTTCAGGTGCACTCCCACCACAGGATTTGCAGACAAATTCCCAAACTTCCATCAGCTTTAGTATGTTGTCATTAAAAATGATCTTTGGATCTTGGTGCCTAGAAAGGTCATTCATAGAAGGGATTGGAACATCTTTCCAAGCATGTGTCATCCTCAGATGGTTCTTGAAGTTTGCCACTCTTAGTCTCTGTGAACGCAAAAGCGTAAGGATTATTGTAAAATGATCTCTGAGATTGTTGTTTTTTCTTCTAACGTTTTCTTTGGTTCTCAGCTCTAGAGATCACTAGGATCCATTCTTTAATCTCATTAAGCAAATTCTTAAGGCCTGCCCTTTCATGAATTGAAGCTACTTTGAGTTGATGCTTCAAAACTCTCTGCTCTGCCCTTAGTTTACCCTTCTGAATCTGTCTCTCTATTTGGTCACTTCTCTTCCTTTCTATCTCTCTCTTGCAGTTGCCACATCAAACCCCACTCATGACAAACTTCTGTAGAAAGATCTCATGGTTAATGGGACCCTTTAGATGGTTGCTAAGTATTAATGAAGGTTCTTAGTGAAGATTCAACCAAGCAGTTTTGTCTTTGGGCCACTGGATTTGTGGCTTGCTTGGAATTTCTCCAGGGTGTTGACACTCAGTAATGGAATCCTGAACACTGTGGGTGTAATCCAGTTTCCTAATCCTATCATTTGACTGACATTCTCCAATATGTAAGTTTAACTAAAATCATATTAAATCATTAAAATTTAACCAAAATTATAAGAGAAATTCTGAAAGGTAAGGATTAAAAGTTTTAGTAAGAAACTCACCCCAAGAATTTCCATCTGCAATGTCCATTTCCACAGCCTCTTTAGCTTTTTCCACACTTTCTCGAACAATATCTGCTTTCTCAAAAGCATCTTTTGTTGGCAGCTGCCTAAGGACCATTGACAAATTGCGAAGAGAAACTTTGTTCTTTGACTTGGAAAAAAAAAAAAAAATAAATGAAAGATTGTATTCCTTGTTAATAAAAATAACTGATTTAATTTCTAGAATTTTATACACAGTTCAAGTGCTAATATTAATTTCTGTCTCTTAGACATAAAAGAGATATCAAATAATACAGATATACCAATGAGTCTGTAGCCTAATGATGAAAAACACATTTATTTTACCTAATTTTTCAACAGTTCTTTTCCTTGCACTTCATTTGCTTAGATCAAAAAATTTCAGATCAGAATTCTGCTAATCAATCTTCGGGTTCAATGATTCATTCTTGTACACCATATTAACACATTGTGTGTGTGCCAAGATTAAAGTAGATTAATACAAAAAAAAAAAAAAAAATATTGAAAAATTAAATCATGAAAACAATGGCGGCAAGAAAATAATATTAGGTCCTCTTTATCACTGTGCATTCATTTCTTGAAGATACTGGAATCAAATCCCACATCACATATCCTCATTTTTATTTGTTAAGATAAATCAATTTAGTATTTTTTTCCAATTTTTCTCTTCTAAAAAGATGCTTCCATATTTCTATCTTTTGAAAAGTTCTCCCTGTCAATCACAAAAGGCAAAAAAAAAAGCAGTCTGAGTCAGACTCACATGATTCAGAGCTCCAATAAAACAATTTTTAGCTGATGTGACATCTTTGTTCTTCCAATAACATTCTCCAAGATGATTCCAACCATCAACCAATTTAGGATCCAATTTGACAGCCTTTGAAAGCAAACTCTCAGCTTCTTTGTTGTAAACAGGCAAAACATTCAATGCTCTGCCTCGAAGCATTGAATAAGTAGCTTTGCTGGGAATATTGTCTGCAAACACATCAACAATTTAAAAGAAAGAAAATTAAAAATAAATTTTATATTCACTAAATTATAAAGAACAAAAATTGGAAATGACCAAAACAGTTTAGTGTTGGTTAGTTGATTTTATGACGTCAATTCTTCTTGACTTATTTAATATTGAAATTTTGTATGGGTCATCCAGGAAGGATTGAACTTATTATTCAGTAGTAATTGGCAATCAGAACAGCTTCAGTAGCCATTATACCATACCAAAGAGTCTTGATTTCTAGTCTAAAGTGATCCCACTATGAAAGGATTTATTTTTGGTGACATTGTAGACATTTATTGGACAAAAATTTATTTGAAACAAGTTTTACTATAAAAATGAAAATTTTTGAATATTCTAAAACACCCACATAAAATGTTATCCTTGTAACTCCTTTTATCTTTTCAATGTAAACACTTTATTTTAGAAGAAGCATTGTTAACTATTATCAATTTCTTTCATTGCAACTACTTAGACCCTCAATCTGTTGTAAGAAATTCAGACTAAAAAAAAAAATATTTTCTTGATGAGAGTTTGCCTTGAGAAAGCTGTTTAATCTTAGCAGCTGCTCTACAAATAGAGTAGTAGTCAAAATACATATCAGCGTCATCTCACCTTTCAGTGAAGTCAGTTTTTCAAGACATTCATGCATTTTCTTCTCCACATTCTCATCTTTGTGTACAGCTTGATCAAGGCTAAAATGCTCAAAATAATGGTCCCGGAATTCATATAACTTATCTACTGCCGCCTGAAAATAGATAATATTGGAAATAATTGCAATTATGGAGAGATTATTGCATTTTAACAGAAGACAAAATGATAGAAAAGAGAAATCCATCTTTACAATTCAAAGCACAACTGTTTATTTTCCTATTTATTCAACATTTAAAGCTAAAATGACTGCTTTCAAATCTTATAATGACCAACTGAGAAAAGAAAAAAAACATCTCATAAAATGTCCAAATAAGTCAATTTCTGGAAAATGTATGAAGTTTTAAAATTTTATGTAATAAACATTTTTTTAAGATCAGATGAACATGTAGATAGCATAACAAACAATACTTATTGGCATACAAAATGGAATTGTCAAGCAGAGTTCAAGTTCCAGCCTAGACTGTAGGCATTCACTTTACACAAATACCTTTGAGAAAAGCATGAATTTCTTCTTCTCCAAGTTCTAAGTTAAATAGCAGAGTAGATTGTGCTTTCTAACCATGAGTGGCAAGGAGGACTACTATGAATTCAAAACCACAACAGGAAACCATTCCATTATTGTTTCCAAAATGTCATAATAATTCAAATATATTAATCTGGAGAGCCATGATTATACATGTCCTAAAGGAACATGACATTTAAAGAAGAGCAAAAATTCTGAATGCAAATCAAATCTCATCTAAATTCATCATGGAAACAAATCATAAGTCATATTTCAAGTTATTGATTATAATTTTAATATAATAATAATTTTAAACAGTTTGTTGTCTGCTTCAAACATTTGTGGGAATGTGTTTAAAAATCCTTATTTTCTGACAGCCTTTTTCTTACTTCCATTTATTTTCTGAAATAAATTATGAAATAGGGATATGCAAATAAACACTGAACACTCAATGCATTCTTATTTGTAGAATTTTTTTCTTTTATTTTTTAAAACTGCCTTATGAATAAACATTTTTTTGTTAATGGGGAAGGTGAGAAATTAAAACTTGTGTAACTTAACATTCTGTGTCTCCTTTGGAAACATTTACACTTCAATTAGTCAAAAGATTTTAAAACAACTTTTTTTAAAAGCAAATCTGGAGACTTTTAACTACATTAAGTAAAAATAAATTATAAAAAAGGTAAATAAACAGAAGTAATATTAATTGAAAATTGTGTGCTTTATAATGCCATGTAAAATTGGTTGGACTGTGTTAGCAAAATAAAGTAAAAATAAAATTCAATCTACAATTCATTCAACACCCATGAAAAATCATCATTACAAGAAAAAAAACTTTTAAACTGTACAGAGGGTTATTTACCAGATATCAAGAAGAATTCAAATAATACTTAAAGCCTTTAAGTATTGTTTAAGTTCTTGATATCTGGTAACCGTAAGGTCTTCCTTATTGCAACTCTCTTCCTTCAGGTAGAGAGGAACCCAGACGAGGCTATGCCGATGTGTCTAACAGAAATTGTTATTAATTACTTATGAGTTTTTAAAAGTATTTTTGTCCCAGAGACTTTTGTTCTGGAACTTCCAACATTATCTCATAGTGAATGGCGTTGATGCTGAGACCAAGGAGAAAGAGAACCGCTAAAAATTTTAAAAAAAAAAATCTTTATGTTTAACAGACAGAGTGACCAAATAAAATATGAATTTATTTATTCAAAAAATAAGTCGGAGTGGAGTAAAAACAAGTTTCTAGTTTTATTAAAAAAAAGAAGAAAGAAGAAAAAAGAAGAAAAAACATACTTAAAATAATTGAGTACTAAATTTTAAGGTCCGAAACAATTTCCTCATATCAAATAATGAATTACCTCCCTTAGATTTCCATCAGTTTCTTTACCCGACCTTATAATCTTTCATAAATGTAAAATATATTATAAATAAAACGAAAACGTCCGGAATACAATATAATTTCAATTGCATTATAACAAGTCTTTAATCTACATTTAAAAAATTCACGGATATTGTTTTTTCTCGAAGCCAGGCCTTTGTTTCAAATTAAAAAATGTGAGGCCAGGTAAAGAACTAAAAAGAAATGTAAGGGAAGTAATTCAGTGTTTGGTATGTCTGGTTTCTGACGTTAAAATCAATAGTAAAAAAAAAAATTAAATTAAATAGTGAAAAAAAAATACAATAAACTCAACTTAAAGAAATTAGAAAGCAAACATTTAAAGATTATTTAAACAAATGTGAGCTTTTATTTTTAAATAACTTCTTAAACTGCTTCAGGTTAAAAAAGTTCAAGACAAGAACAAGAAGAGCAAAGACCTAAAAATTTTAGGCTAAAATAAAGAAAAATTTTGTACACATTTTTCTTAAAAAAAGAAAAAAGAAAAGCTTTATTTCTTGTGAGTTTTTTTTTTTTTTTTTTGTAAAACTAATTGTGTCGACTCAAACAAAAATATCAGAATAATTTTCTTTTTTTAAAGCAACCGTTTGCTCACTGATTATTACATACGTGTATGTAAAAAAAAACAATGTGTATTTGTTTGTATTGTGAATAATAAATGGATTTCTAAGTATATATATTTACATGGGCAACTTCCAAGGCGGTTTCTTTGCTGTTGGCAATTTTCACTTCTTCAGCTGACATTCTTCAGATATCTTACACCTTTGAAACAAAAATCCTTTAAAAAGAAAATATCCTAAATTTCAAACTTAACAGATTAACTCTTTTTTTTCTTCTTCAAATTGACGATGGTGTCTTCAATCCTTTCTACCATATCTATTCATTTTGCTTTTTTTTTTTTCGATTCCAATGTTTCTATCCTCCCCGCAAATAACAACATTTCAATTTTCAATTCATCATTTACTTCTGCCGAGAAAAAAGTTCATCATAAAAAGTTTATTTGACTAGCCGTCACTCCGCTAGTCAAATTAATTCTTCTTCTTCATTCCAGAGTTTTTTTCCTTCTCAAAACACGCAATATGATTTTTTTTTCTTTAAATCCTCAAAGAAAAATATAGAAATTATCCAAAAAGCGGTAAGTTGCTAAGCGGTGTTACATATTACCTTGTCCCAACTGGAAATTTTGTCCAGCCTAAATATTAGTGGTTTACTAAACTTAGCTTAGATTTGGCACAAGGCCACAAGTAAAGCAACCAGTGAGAATCGAACTCACTACTCAGTCGTAAGTCATTTAGCTAGACAAGCATATAACGCCACATGCCTCCAGACTAAGTATTGTGTTTTCAGCATCCAACTTTTGATGCTATATAAAACACAGGGCTTTTTTCTTTTTTTTTTTTTTTTTTATATTAGAGATGCACGGAGGCTGAGAAGGAGTAAAAAAAATATGCAGTTCCTCATCTATGCATTACTTATTGTTCTTTGGGCACATATGAATGAAGAATAAGCAACAAAATTGCCAGGTAAATAAGTGTGTGAATTTTTCATACGATCAAATTGAATGGGAGAAAGCTTAGGGACAGAAAGATTGTGCAAATCTCTGAGTGAGTTCTATCCTAACTGGGTATCCCACTTTTTGATCCTGTGTCAAACTAAGGTAATCTTAGTAAATTTGTACTCTACTGACTTGACTATTGGAGCTTTCTTTTTATATCTCTTGATTTGATTTTACAAACTGGAAATACTTAGACACAAACTTATTAATAAAAGATCTAAAAAAAAAAGTCAAGAAAAGAATGTTCATAAAAGAAGCATGTAAAAAGTGCCATCATTAACACAAAGAAAGACATACTTAGAAATTCTCTTTTAAAACTTGCTTAGTTTGTAAGCAATTCTTTTGAACTTTACTTTTATTGTTTTTGAATTCGTCCTAGTTAGCCAATCATATCATATTATAATTCTTAGAGGTTGAAATTGTTGCGTATTTCTCTTGACTTTAGAAGACTGGTGCAATACAATCTTTCTTTGCCTTTTCCTTCATTTGTGCCTCAGTAAATACCAAAAAGTATTTCAAATTAATCATTACATATAGTTTGTTCAGGCTCATTTGTTCATTTATTTATTTATGTATTTATTTTTTAGCACAGCATTTTGATCATGTATGCTCTAACCTTTCTCAATTATCTGTTGTGTTCGAATTTTAATGAATCTTGTTTTGTGGGAAATATGTGCAACTCCTATTTGGATTTGGGGACAGTATTTCCATCTCTTCTGAATTCACCAAGTGACCCCCTTTGAACTTAACCATCTTTTGAGAAATGCCAATGAAATCCAAAGTACATTACCTGCTCTCTTCTAATTATATATATATGTCACTATTATTATGATTATGTTTGTGGGAGGATCATGCAGCACAGTGTAGTGTGCCCTGGCACAGTGGTTGAGAATCACTAGTCTAGACTCTTTATGAACTCTTTAACAGTTCTAAGAATATTTTTTCACTTAATTGTTACTGTTATTTTATCAAACAAGCACCTATACTAAATACAAGAATGATAAATCCCTACTAGGGATACAAAAGCATGCAAAGGGAGCGGAAACCACATACAATGACTATGCAGTTTGTAATTGGCATGTGTAAATAACATTTCAAGTGAAGATACAATGAAAAGGAAATTAAGTATTTGTTATTGCTAACAAATGTATGACACAAAACATAACATGGTGGCAGTGGTAACTCACAGATACTAAGATAAAAGGAGAAATGGACAGAGCAGAAATACAAAAGAAATAAATTGATACAAATGTCAAAATGGATGTCCCTATGACAATGACTCATATACATTCTAATTGAATGCTGACAATATTATTGAGACTTTTTTAAAGAACACAATGGATGAAGAGAAAATCTGCTACATACTCCTCTGGATAGGAAAAATAAGAACTAAGCATTCAATAACTGGGACCTCAACAAAGCAGACAGTAACAACTCAGACAATGTATTTAAAAAATTTAGGACTCATCTTGAACCACAGTACAACCACTGTAATCACAGGTATGAATTTCAAAATTTAGAACAGTTGATAATTTTCTGATTAGAATGAAAAATGTAGCAGAAAAATATAAATTTAAAAATATAGAAGAACAACTTACAGATCAATTCATATGGGGATGTGGACATTCTGATGTACCAAAATCACTTTTGACAGTGATTCACTTAAACTGATTTAAGCAATAGATGCTGTAAGAGCATTTGAAGCTATGAGAAAACAAATGGAATTACAGCATATACAAACAACTGGTATACAACAGAAACATGACAGAAATGATGTTCTAACCAAACACTGATAAAATCAAAACAAGGCACAATACAACAATGTAAATGCTGCAGTAGAATACACAAAATTGATGACTGAAAGAAATGTCCAGCCTTTGGATCATAGTGTAAAGATTGTAATAAAGCAAATTATCAGGAGAGAATGTGCAAGAACAAAAGAATATCACACAAACCCAAGTAAAAATATTATTTCAAACAAAAGAGCCACTGAGTTGATGATGATGAGAGTGATGAAAATAACAGACTACACATAAAGATAATGCAACTATTGTATATACTAATTCTTTAGTGTGAGTTTATATCATCAGTTTTTTACACACAAAATAGAGGATTACACAGGTAATTTTTTTGAATAGGTTAAATATGCATTTTCAGTGACCGGTTGCATAATACACAAATAATTTTTTCTGGTGTGGTTAAAATTCATTCAAAAATTCAGGGGCACCCTATACATGAAGTTGGCTTATAAATGAGAATATATAGTGTACATCAAATGTCAAAAGATAAAACTATAAGAAGACAACTGAATAACAAACCAACAATCATCACCCTTAAGTATAAACTGGATACTAGAACACAAAACAATGTAGCAAGCCATTAAAAGGATATACTAACAGATATTCCCACAAAACATTGAAAACAACTACCCTAAAGCAAGTGCATTGGGAGCTAAAAATACCATATTAGCAGCATATGGTGGAACGGAAATTAAAGAGTTTGGGAAAACCAAAATACTTGGATCACATAAATGTGATATAAATGACTCAGTGGGACCTGCAATTCTTGGGTTGAATAGCTGTGAGAAAGTAAAGCTATGCTATAAACTCTGCTATAAACAAATCTAAGAGAATAAACAGCAACACACTATGTTAACAATGGCTTCATATCAATAACAAAGCACAACTAATAGAAATGTATCCAAAATGCTTTAATGGCACAGTTGGATGTTCAAAAGACTTTGAGTATCATATAGACACAATAATTAAACCCATAATCTATGCTCCAAGAAAAATACCAATAGAACTCAAAGAAAAGCTGAAAAAGAATATAAAGAAATAGAGGAAAATTAAATAATTGAAAAAATGAATGAACCTGCAGAGATTGAATAAATTCTGTCATTGTCAGAGAAAAACTCAAGGGACAGCTAAGGATTTGCCTGGACTCAAAGCAAGCCATCAAAAAGGGACACTACCCAACACCAACACTAGAAGACACCACATTAGAGCTAAGCAATATCTAAAATCTTTAACAAGCTTGATACCAAGAACGGATACTGGAATGTTAAGCTTGATGAGGAATCTACTCTTCCCACACCATTTAACACCCCATTCAACCAATACAAATTCCTGCAATTGATCTCAAAGTCAGTCAAGAAATCTTCCAACAAAAGATAAATGAAACCTACAGAAAATGTATAAATACCATGGGAATTGTAGACAACATAAAAATCCATGGCAAAGATGAAGGAGATCATGACTTTCACCTTCATGAGGCAATGGAAAATATGAGGAGAGCAGGTATCAAACTGAATGCTGAGAAATATGTCATCAAAGTGGAAGAATGTCAGTTCTTAGGAATGATATACATGCCCAATGGAATAAAACTAAATACAGAAAAAGTCACAGCCATTATCAAAAGAAAATCACCAAAAGATAAGAAAGAACCATGTAAAGACCAAGAGCTAAGGGAGGGGAGACAGGGCAGAAAAACGACACCAAATACAACCTGCAATATGACAGTACTGGTCTATCAGAGATGATATCTCATTAGAGAATGGTGTTTGAGCATTTCAATGTGGTGTAATGGTTAGCAAGCGTGTCTCGCTAGATCAATTATGACTGAATAGTGAGTTTAATCTACACTATACTTTTGGTCTTGTGCCACATTTAAGCTATGCTTAGAAAACCACCACTAAAGAATGGTGTTTTGCTAGCAGGATCACACCTATTAATAGCCAAAACATTACAACTAGAAATCCTTCAGAAAATCCACCAAGGTCACATGGAAATAGAAAAATGCAAACTGAGGGCAAAATATGCAGAGTGTACTGGAGAGGCTTATACAAAGACATTGAGTAGATGCTTTCAGAATGTCAAATATTCCAAAAATATAAAAGTTCACCACCAAAACAAGACATGATATCCTCTGAAACACCAAGCAGACCATGGCACACGTTAGGAGCAGACCTATTTGTTATAAACCAAGAATGGCACCTAATTGTGGTCTGTTACAACTCCAAGTTAATATTTGTTCAGAAACTGAAAAACTTGAGAGCTGAAACCATCTGATTATCAATTCAAGCAATATTTGCATAACAGGGAATACTTGAGAAACATATGTGACAACAGCACCCAATTCATATGTGAATCCAGTGAACTAAACCAAACCTATGAATTCACAGTTACAA